CTACAGCGAATCACTTCATAGGGCTATGCGTCTCACACATTTGTATCCCTTGGCTTGCATAGGCTCCTGGGGCTCGTTCAAGCCGCCAATCGGTGGTTTGAGATAGCTCAGTGGTTAAGGCGAAACCTTACTTGCAGAAAGGTCCGTGTTTTAAGTCCAACTTATGCTTTTTAACTGCTCTCTAGGATTGTGCAACGTGGAAGTACCTCAACCCTCGTGCTTCCTTCGGGTGACCATGCATTGAAATGATTGCTTTGTTGATTGCCTTTATTATGCCACATTTTTCGCTAGATTCTTGGAGTTTGTTCGCCATGTATTTTGTATGTAAGCGCTTATTGTTTTTGACTTCCGATGTAGGAGGTCATTTTCAATCAATCGCTCATCCAGATAGATCCCTTTTGTTTTCTTGTCGTTTCATGAATAGGAACTTTACTGTAGAGAGGAGCTGATATTTTGTTAACCTGATAGGTTTTAATAATAAGATCGTTCAGCTGTGGCACCATTTCGGTGCCTAACTGCCACGCCACCAGAAAGAAGCATGAGGGCCAGGATACTGTCAGGTTACCCAAGCCTAGACAAGGGAAGTCTCGCCCTCTGTAGTAGGTTTTGGCATTTACTCTAGGTTCAAATCAGACGTTTGCTTAAAAGTAATGAATACCTGTTCTACCTATGAGTGATTATTTCACCCTTTTAAGACGTCAGTGCTTAGAAGCAGACTTTTTCAGGCTCTTTAACTCCTCTTCTAATGGAATAACTTTTGGCTTCCGTGAAAATTTGTGGGTCGCACAATGTCAAAGGTAGCAGGATCTCACAAAATGTCCCACATTGCACCCATCTATTTTTCACAAGGGCCTAGTGTCATTACAGCTAGACATAATCTGTGCGGTGCCAAAGACGTGAGTTATATTTATTCATTTAGCCCCTAGTGTGTCGCGTCGATATATTTGGCTACTTTTCATATGATAGTTGGCTTAAGTTGCACGCAAGTTGGCGAGTAAATATCGTTCATAGCAAATTTCGAAATGTGATTGCATTCACTCTTTCAAATATCATGAATGCTGATATTCACTGGTAGCTAGGGAAAACCGGCCCGCTTCGAAAGCTTTTCCAAGACTGTTACCCAAAATGCAGTCCGTCCGATCGCTCCTATGTGTGGTTGTCCCCAATGTGTGAACAGATTCCACAAAGAACTTGCTACCGACAGCGAATTATTGGACAAAAAAACATATGTCCAAATTCTTTTCGACATTTGTTCATAGTCCCTAACCGGGCTTATGGGTGGCTGGCAGAGCAGTTTTGCGCTAGACTGGCGCCACGCCCCTTATGGATAGAAAAACCAATCTCTGCTTTCAAACCAACCGAATTGATTTATTCGGACTCGGACTGGTTGTACAGAGTTGTAAGTTGTGGCCTCCATATTTGTGATGGTTTTCATCAGAACCGAGTTCCCGCTGTCTAAGTCTGGAAACTTCGTAGAACTGAGTTACGTCTACACCATACGATTCTCCTCCTAACGCGAATACTATGGTGTAATTGAACTAAAAAAGGGAGGAACTGGTATCGAATTTTTCTTTCCCTCTCCCAAAAGCAGTTCCTATGATTCCACGCATCTTGCTTTGAACTACAGATAACATGCAAAATTAGCGTGCTTCTAATATTTCACCAGCAAACGCTGGGTGCACCTGAGTTATTCGTCCCAAATAGATGAACCTCTTTATTCTTGATCGATGTGATTAGGTTGTCAAAAGTCTCAGATAACGATCCGTCAACTCCATTCGCATTGTTGGTCAAGTCACCCTTCTGGTTGTATCACGGGTGAATGAGAACTGTTGGACAGTTCTCGGGTAGTTGTTTCATTAGTTACCTGAAGCTACCTTTATTAGTAACAGCATTTTATAGTACAGTAGCTATGATCGTGTCCTTTTGTTGAGCAAACAGAGCAAAGAAGTTGTGTAATAACCACAGGATTGCTTAGTTACCGAAATTATCCCCACAGATAGTTGATTCTTGTTCGAAAATGCCATCGAAAGCACACAGAGAGTTGACGTGCGCAACACTGATAGTCATAGCTGAAGACGCCCTTATAGTATACCGTCTATGGTGCTGTTTGTGTTTCCAATATTTTTGAAAGTTTTAAAATTCCGAAATATATCTCCTGTATATACAAAGCTCATCGCCAACTTCGAACGATTCAAGGCGGTTGCCAAGGAAGCCACATTTTAGCCGGAGTTAAGATGCTTGCACTGAAGACCCAAAAGGTTGAGAAGCGGCGCTATAAAACAAAAGGATTCGCTTCACTCAGAGAGACCATATGTCGCCGTCCTCTAAAGAAGAGTAGAGCAATTCGGACTGCCACATCTACATGCCTCCTAATGATCGACTCATGGGCAACGAATAGTGACAAACGTTTACTAACAAAATATCAGTTTTTATAAGCAGGGGTGTCCACTCTCAACAATGTTTTCCAAAACTCATGGTTGCAGATTTCTAATATTAGGGAATAACTTCAATCAGTCAAAAGAGCAGCCAGTCGGGTCAGCGTCTTTTATGATTTTGCGAATTATTCTTGCATTTGGACGTTGGTGCACGAAACCTCGATAATACCCGTAGAAGCCAGTTGTTCTCGCAAACAGGAGGTACCCTCGTTGCTCACTGTGTAGTTTCAACTGTTGCAATCACATCCTGCAATGAGGTACTTTTGAAAATCACCTATATATCATTCGATGGCTTCAGGAGGAAAACAGGAGATGGTTTTCAACGTTCCAGCATTCTCACATCGGATAGAAGCCTTTCACTCAGGCAAGTAGCCATGTTTCTTAGAGATGCGAATAGAGCAACGGCAATATAACGATCTAATAAGATTACTGAGACCATTAGGCTTTACGCTTTTGACGCATCAATAAACAGAGTAGTGCCGATGTTTATTCGGTCGATGCTAGGCAGGTACCTCAATTAGATTGGTGAAACATCTGGGACCAAAATACACTACTGATGGAGCAGACGCGCATTCTGAATAAGCTTGGGACTGTGTTGTCTTCGCCCACTTATTGTTGTCCTTACTATGCAGGGCCGATTACGTTATCTATTTAATTTGCTATCCTCGTTGGCGGTGAGGATTAATACAGGATGTTTAGAGTATCTCAACAAAGCTAGCTCAGAAATTGCCGGGTGTGAGCCCTGTTGTGAGCAGTGGTGTTAAATGTGAGTGATTTTAATGCTGAGGCCTGCCGCATGATGCCTATTTTGCTCATTCTTAGTTGATTTTGAAGGTTTAGACGAATAGAGGACGGATCCCAGAATCGCGGATTCTCAAATTTATAAGAGAAACGTGAAATCCACGAGGAAACAGAACTAGTAGAATGCAGCCGGAAGAAGTGGGTAGATGCAACCGAAGGAAGATAATTTATTGGTTGGTATTATCCGCTTTTCGAACCTAAATCATTCCACACTGGACCCAAATTTTTCATGTATTCTAAACGCTTGATATGTTTGGTTCCTACGTTTCAGCTACCCATTCAAACCATTTTATCCGTCTATCTGCTTTTTCCTGCACTTAGCTTCGCTTCTTGGGCAAACACTACCTGGATTTTTACTTTTTCATTTCGCCGTACAAATAAAATACATTGTCTGTCTAAGTATGAACCGGGCAATATTACCAAATAGATCGAGCCTAAAATTGACATTACATAATTTTGGTTGTCGGTTTGACGAAGGATGTTTGTTTATCCGAACAGATCCGCACTAAACATCTTTTAACAACCGTTCCGAACTATCCAAGCTCTAAGGTTTGTTGATTTTGACCGAATTCAGTTGCATTCTGTGAACGCTACATCTCAATGGATTTTGACTCATCCGTTAACGGCGAAATAATTGGTGTGATTTATTGGTATCTGATGGAACGATGTTCTAACTAGCAATTGATTCCTGAATTCAAAGCCATCTTTTACTTTCACATAACTAAAGGGGCATAAAATAGCTATTCTGAAAACAAGGGCTTTAAGTAATAGTTTCATTATTCAATTATCCTGCATCACCGTAACCCATCTGATTGAGCTTCCTAGAAATAGTTTATTTCCATTTCTACTCTGAAGCAACATTTTCACGGACTATCAAAGCGGGGCCCGAAAACAATTCCGAAGCCATTCTTATTAATATCGAACCCAGGTCGTTGGCTCATTCCTAACCGTTTTGTCCGCCAGACGGAACGTTGCGCGGCCCTTTTTGGCAGGATCTCCACTCTTCATTTTACTGAGTTAAGCAGCCCGAGCTCAATTTTTACGCATAGACGCCTTAAATGCTACTTGGTCAACTTAATGTTAACAAGAAAAATACACAGCTACAGGTTTTAATGAACGACAGCAGTCTCCAGGAGCTATTTCAAAGCAATTTTCCCCCGAACTACCTGCATATCATGGTATATGCTGAAACGTCAAACCCACTTACTTGAATATGCTTTTACTAGTGCGACCGATTTCACTTGAAACCTCAGATACCTCCGCATAATACTTATTCTTGTAGACCGTCGAAATTGTCTTCGAAGGTTCGCTGTGAACAGAGACTATCTGATTTGCATCACTTCCTGATCTCACTACCCTTCGGTCTTATGGATTTACACTCATGACCAATTTGAGCTATCCACTCTGGCTACATGTGGTTCATCGATTTCACAGTAACAGTGCACCCTGAGCGGAATCGGCGTTGATTCAGTGTTCGACCAATCACTAGAATTGATGTCACGTGAGCTTGGTTGGACAACATTATTGAGGCCTCTTTAGTTGTGCTTTGTTGATCAGCTGGTATTTTGTAGCGAAACACGACGTACCTCGTTCAACCACTGATAGCGCTTTCCGTTGATTCTTTCTGTCACAAAGCCGTTAAATTTTCAGCCACAGCCTATTATTCATTGCAGTTTCGTTTTATGAACCTCATTTAACGAAGTTTTCTTGTTTTACTATAGCTTAGCGCATTGAAATGGCTTGATCAATGGGCCAAATAATCAACGCGCCCTTATCCATCACATCTTGGTCCGGACCAAATACGATTCACCTAGATTTTGCTGATCTACCAGATACAGATGTGACCCGACAATGAACTCAGGTGGTAGTTACAATGTAGCAGAGGCGGAACAGTCTCAGCACACGTTCTATGTGGACACGATTGTGTGTAACGTGTATCTGCTGGACTCCACTTGTGTCGCATTTAAGGTTGATGTGAGTTGTCTTTCCTTTCGATCGTACGAATTGACTCATTTTTCACTCAGAAACATTGCCGTGGACAAACTCTGCTGGACCTCACGTTCGACTATTTAGAACTGCTGGAACGTGATTTTTTCGGGCTCGTTTTCAATGCAAGACACTCTCGAGGTGAAACTATCCTTGTAAGTTTGGTCACCATCACACAATCTCTCTAGTCCGCACTACGAATCATGGTAAGTAAATCTGCTAGCTCAGAGTGGATCAAAAGTTCCTTGGAAAGGAATTCAGACATTTTGTTAATGTGGTTGGTAGTGTGCGGACATTTCGAAATTTTTTAATGGGACATTTGTCCTGTAAGTAAAGCCAGTCTGTGCTAAAAGCTGAAAAGCACTGCACAATGGTTTCGGCCCTATTGGGAATCATCAACAGTGCGTCACTCGCGAAACTCAAGGGAGTTTGTAAACCGCGACCTACCGGGCTGTATTTTGAACACTTAGTTGATCGGCCACGAGAGGCTGATTAGCGTTGTGACTAACCCACGCTCTGAGATGATATGCCGCAACTTAATTAACACTTACCTCCATAATGTTATAGAAGGTTGATACTTAATTTCAGTTGTTTGTTTTCTTCGAATACATAGCTAGAACTGATTCACTTTTTGCGTTTGTTCTCCAAAGTTTGTGGAAATCTAATTGACCTACAGGGACTAGATGCTCCGTAAGATAAATTTCATGATGCTTAACTGCTTTACACATGCAAAGTCTTTGTAAGAATGCGTGCATAGTCGTTATCCCTTCTAAAAATCACATTCAAAGGGACAATCCCTTAGAAAGACCACACAGATTTGAATGGTGCAATTCCTCATTGCACAGGCCGGTGGTATCAATCAACGTGTAACAACCAACATGCGTATCAGAAGTGCACTTCAGATCAAACGGAATTGCGTCTATGATGCACTGGTTCTGGACCAAACCGATTGAGAATACCATCAAGCAAAATTCCTGACGAGAGCCTGCGGATGAACCCTCTACTCAACTCTGAGCACACTCGTTCAGCTTTAAATTAGACTTGCTTACTCTAAAAATGGCGCTCTGAGAACATTTTTGCACAACGGCACTGTTCTATTGACAACAGTGGTCCTTTTTTAAATCATTCACTGCAACTGGTCGGTTTTGTTCACCCTTTATAATGAAGCGGACTACTGTACCACCAACCGGATATACACTTTAGCCGTGTTCTACATACAGGTCGTTTCTGCGCTGCGTTACCATTGTTTGATGAATTTCCTCTTGATAGCTTTCCTTGTAGACTACCAGCTAGACTGTAGCCCTGAAATGAGGTCGATGCAAATGTGAAGACTTTGTACAATTTCCTTACTAAAGCAAACAACTTTGTAGAAAAATGAAGTGAAGCAGTGATAAGTATGAACCTTTTTTTATTGAACTGCGATTGCATTCCATGGAAGGATTGTGACTTTTCAGTGATTCAGTGACTCGTTTTTATTTTCAGAAGTGGCTTGATCCCACAAAATTGGTCAGGAAGCAGTGTTCAGGTAAGGATCGAGAAACTTGTTCCATACTTTCTGGGTAGTTTTCTTACGAACCTAGCACGTCATAAAACAGGTGTAGCAACAAGTGTTCTCTTTTTCACTTATATTCTGTTCTACCGTTGGCATTGTTGGTGAGTTGCGCCTCTAGATTGTCATCCCGTGAATTCGATTTGCCAAAGTAAGTATACTTCCAAGGAACACTGATAGCTATTTAACGTCTCACGTTGCCCAATAACCAATATATCTTTGCTTGGTGATAACAATCCAGCTACTTTTTAAGAATCCTTTCAACGATGAATGTGACAGAAACAATGTGGCTAGTCTGATTTCTCTAGATTGTAATCATCTGAGAACTATTGTTTCTTCGGATTGGCATTATCCAATCATTTTAAGAAGTTCACCCGTTCCTGTCAGGGCTCAAAACTTTCGCTCCAAGTTGGTCGAGTTTGAGCACCATCCGTCTCCCTCGATCTCTGTCGTATATCTGTTAAGGCATGTGTTTATCCCCCTTGGAGGTAAAGTATCAACGTGATGCCCATTGATCATTTTTAACAATGATTTGGCGTTACGAGAAAAGGGGCAAGTCCTTCATCGAATATGCAAGTCCTTCGAACCTGTAGTAATGCGAGCAAGCTGTTTTATTATTGCTATAATTTCGCATCGTTTTCTCAGACAACAGAGAAATGTTCGAACCAGAGTGATTTTAGCGAAACGTACTCATTTGTATCCCAATTCAGTTTTGACGGGAGACTCACCTGGAACCCAGCTGAATCTCTCGTCTATGATGAGCAGTTTATCACAGTGACGTTACTTTACGGAAGTCATTCAAGGGTAGAGCAACCTTGATTAGCCTGGAAGTGAATTCACCCAAAACACTATCAGCCGTGTATTCAGAGGTTTTTCTGTTTATTCCATACGTATTCTTGAACTGAACAGACCTTGTTTCAGCCACCTTGAGGTTTGTTCTGAGGTTCCCAGACAAACTTGTTACACATATTTGCACGTACAGAACACAGCTAATTATCCCCGTGATCTCTACCAGGTTCAGTTCTGTCGTCTTTATCGGTCGCATCATCTTCTCATTCCTTGGGATTTCGTTAGGCTTATAGGGATCCCAATAACTGGATAGCTTATTTCTGAGTGCAACCCACCGTATACCGGGACTTGCGACGCGAAACCCAAAAAGACTGGGGTAGATGTAGAATCTATCTTTTTTGCTCAGCGTTCATTTTTGACAAAAATCTACCGTAGACCATGGAATTGTGTCTAACTGAGCAGCTGCCTGACTCACCATTTTCCTTCTTTTCCAAAATTAAATCAATGCTGTATCTTCAGTATTTATGGCACAATCGTAGTGCAGTTATACTGATCCTTCTCAACGAGGTCATAAATGAACATGGCCTAGTGAAAAGGTAATTTGTAAAAACTCCTGGCTAATATGTCATCGGTCCTATCATTCTCATCAGTTGTACGTTCTTTAATGAGGCGAAGTACTGAAAACCCATGTACTTTATCCAGTTCGTCTGTCAGTGTAAGGACTTATTCACTGAGGTAAAAAAGGACCATCTCATTAACAGGGCGATATCCAAGGTTGTTACCGTGCTTGGGCCATTGTTTCATTAGACCCCACTGTAGTCTGAAACCTGCATTTTGAGGTAAATGATCATCTCTTTTTATTCGATTCAGTAAATTCACATTGACCTCCAGTGAAAAGGGAATCCAATTCCTAATGGCAGGTTAACGAATCATTGCGCAAACAATGTGAGTAAACATGGTACCAACAGTTGCTTGATCCCTTGTCTGTATCTATCCGTTATCACAGAGCAAGTTTGTCAAGCCATTGGATTGCAACGATCTCATTCGTTGATAGAAGGCACAAACCCGTTTCCTCACGTCAAGCTTTAGTAAAGGTGTAGCTGCATTCCGATTACTTGGCACCCATACCAACATCCCAGTTCATCACTCTATACTACATACTTTGTCGAATTCCTTGCTGTTGTAATCCTAATCAGCTAAATCCGATGCAGCTGAAACTGCGTGGCACGGTTCTGACAAAACATGTGTCGTAAAAAGGTGCGTATTCGTCATAACAGAGATATGCCTAACTGTCAAGCCAGCTCCCAGAAGCTGGTGACAGGTAGTCCAATAAAACTGACTGTTTTAAAGTAGAACGGGAACAGTGGAAGTGGTTGTATGACACTTCTATCCTTTCCAGGTACGTGTATATCCGGATGATGGATAGATTGTCCAGGCTGTACTGTATGAATACACCCTCATAAAGCATGGGTTTAAATATTAAACACTAACAAATCACTTTTGCTCGTATTTAGTACCAACGTTTCGGTAATTAATGATTACAACTTCCAAGGACTTTACAGTTGAGAGGTTGATGTCCTCATTTGGATGAGTAATCTGAGGTTATTGTGGATCAGTCTGAGTTTGGTGGCCATGAATATGTGAGTGTGTCTTGTTTGGGTAGGAAATGGTCAGCAAGGTTGCCTCTTGAGTTGTGAGATCCAACAAACCCAAACAGACAGGAGATTGGTCCCTCCGCGAATTCGGTGCAGACAGGGTGGGAAATGCTTCTTAGTGTCTATGCACGTGAACATTCATTGTATGACTTGAAGTCAGTGTATTAGTAAGTTTGATCTGATAACCTCGACCAATGCGTGTAGTTTCACGGTGTAGTCGTGCTCAAGAAAAACTTCCAAGTTTGGGTCGCTCTATGGGAGGAGCAGTTTGTTTGCTGTTTGCGATGATCTTATGTATAGCGATTCCTATTCCCTAAATTGTACAGAGCTATTGATCTGAATGTTGTTTTGATTTTATTCCCGGAAGTCGATCAATTTTAGCCACCCATGGTGATATGGGTTTGTCCTGTGCTGTGAGGTTTTCAGTTTTTTATGTGAAGGGCTGTCGCGTCACTCGATGCTCGTTTAGTGAAATGTTCACTTCAGCAACCTTGGAACCATAGATGAATTCAGTTCAAACACCGTAATGTGCATTTTCGTGATGAAGTGTGTATGCGATTCATCTGCTCATCTGCGTATGAACTATCACGTGAATTACACTGCTACCGGTCTGTAGCTGGTTGCTAGACTGTGCCGGATTCGTGTAAACGTTTGTTCATATGGAGCTCATCACGGACAGTCACATGCCATGTGTTGCAAGGCTGCATATAACAGAGCTCAGCTATATCATTTAAGAATTTCGACTGCCCTGAAGCCCAGAAAACCTGCTTCCAAGTTGTTTTACTGTGCCGTGTTTTACATGACGACCAAAGCTAGAACTTGAAGTTGTATTGACCTGATGTTGAGTGCTCCATTCCATGAGAAGCGGTTGAGAAGTGTGATACCACGTTTCACCTCAACTGGGCGCTTCATTCCTCCTCCGCATCACTTGAATTGTACAAACGGTCTGCTGAGGGATTTTAATTGGTGCACAATTTCGGTTGTTCGTTCACACAACTCTTGTGGATCCCTATATCCTTGGATCAGTTACGGGCCCCGTATTCGGGATAATCTCAAATGATATTCTTAAACTCAACGTTTGCGATCATGAGCTGGAACACTCTCAGCTCTAAGGAACTCAGTCAACCCTTAATTGCTTAATGTCTGTGAGCTGCCAGAAAAATTTCTTTTGAGCGATAACCTGCCAGTTCACAAGAAGAATATGCTCGTTGGTGATCGGAGTCATTGGATAGGCAAGCGGACTTCTGTAAACAAAAGTCACTACAAACGTTCTACTGCGGGCAGTTTTAAAAGTCAAGTTGTGCCAAGGATCATTCTAAGTGTGACGTTTCTTGCTCGACCAAAAGGCGAAATTTGGTGATACTCCTCCTATCGTGGAAGCTTATACACCAAGGAAATGGTTTTCGACATGCAGGATCTTTTATACGCCCATCCTCACTAAAGAAGATCGGCCTTTGAGTACCAAGTCGGAAACACTTGGCTCTCAGGCTTATTTAGTGTCCTAATTTATCATTGACCAATCTCTTCTACAAACAGGACTGATCCGTTATCCAACGACGTTAATATAATTCCCTTGGAGTGATACAAAGAATCATTTTATCTTGGATTCATACTCAGCACGATTCTTCCGAGGATTTTCTAGTAGCATTATCGATCGGAGGTAGAGTAGCTGAAACCTTATATGGAACAGTGCGCAAAAAATCGGTGGTTATCGCGTCCCTGCTATCTACCGCTGTTTGTTTTGTTGTTACATCAGAATACACCATGGTTAGTTACCTCTTCCGACGGTTCTCACATGCCTTTATTTGGAGGAGATATAACTCATCCTGATCAAGTTTAGGGGTGAGGAATGTCGACCACTTCAAAGTCTCGCGGTTACGAAGTCTCTGTTACGCAGTAAGAACAACACTAGGATCCCATGTACACGTGATATCACATTACCTCAGTGCATAGATGGTACAATACCGTTCTTACTACTCACCCTGCCTCCAGAAGTCATCACCTTGGAAACTTGACGGAAACCCCGAAGGAAAAAGCCCATAAGAAAAAGATTAATGTGGGATAAGTGAAACTGGAAACCCGTTTAATTCACTAATAAGATACATTGATTTTTTCTTATTCTAAAAGGCTCTGTTTGTAGCAAAGTAGTTCAGAGCAGTTAACCGCATTTCTGTCGGCAACCTCTGAACGAGCTTACGTTCTTGAAATTCACTCGGTATTGTCCATAGTGATTGTGGGACTAGTTATTCATGATTGAAATTCGTTGCACAAAGCAAAGCACATCTGGGTTCAAAAATTGTGAGACGTTGTACACATCCATACGGGGGATCATCAACCATACATATGACGCAAGTGCTGACTGAGAGGAAGAACCAGGTGGCATCCGCGGGTGAAACATACCAGAGTTGGTATGTAACGTGTATGATGTATTGACCGGTAACTCAGTCACGGACGGCTTAGTCTTCACACCTTGTTTCAGGGCCTTGAACACTCGCCAGATTTGGAGCTGTGCACCACCCGATTAGTTCATAGCACGGACGACACGACTGACCACCGCTTCCCCACTTTCCAGCACAGGTCTGCCATTACTTCCGTTTAAGAAATACGAGTAACTTGGTTCCAGTAGTGAAAGGGGCTTTAAAGTGAGCTATTGTGTTATTGTTTCCAGCGAATTGTTCGGCTTATGAGGAGTAGGGTAAATCTAGCCTAACCTATGGTACCTTTTGGTCAGCTGATTGCAGATGAATAATTTAGACCATTCATGCCGTTTTCGAACCGTCTCCGGTTTGGCGGTTTATCTTTGGGGCCTGTTCGCTTACCCTTGCCTTAGAACTTCCAAATTGAAGCTATGTTCAGCTGGACGACTTATCATATTCCCCTTAGGATGGGACAGCTCGTTTACCTTCGTCACCCAGGCAATTAATTTTTGAGCGGTCACATCTCTAAGTCTTGGCGTGTCTTCATAATATGGAAGGAAAACGGTCGGTTGGAGTGTATTTGTATAAGTGTTGGCATAAGTGTTTCATCTTGCCTTTTTAGATCTAAATTCGAATTTGTTTGTCCAGGACTTTTTCCCAGTGTATTCCAATTCTGGGTTGGCAACTGCCTGTTTAGGGTGAGCAAGGATTGTTTTGATGAAGCCGCAGAGGCTTCATTTAGATGAGTTCTACCGTTGAGTAAGGCTCCCGAACTAAGTCCGTAAAATAAAGCAGTTAACCGTTGTACGATTTTCGGAGCGCTTCGCATTCATCCCAGAAAATATCGGTTAAATGCTTAGCATGCCGATCATTCATGATGTGTAGCTTGATCCCCATCTGTCAGGTTATGGGTTCGATCTAGCCCTTGATATCCATTTGGTTTAGATTTGGTGATCTTGGCAAAATTTAAAAATTATCGACGTAAACTGATTTGTCTTCATCTACATCATAACGTCCAAAGTTTCACACTGCTTAAAAAACCCGATATAGTTGATTGCCTAGTTGGGAAGCAAGCAGTTGACCAACAAAAGCGTAATAATTTATGCAAGAGTGATGTCTGGATTTCGATTAAAAAGCCAATGATTTTATATAAAATCACATAGCATGATGTGATTACTTACATGAGCCAAATAACAAGGACAGAACTCTGCTGGTTTCATTCTTTTATATTGCTCACTGGTAGTTTAATCTCTCCTGTTCTTTCACGGCAGATCCAGCTCCTTATGCCTTTTGGTTCCGAGTGAAATTTTACGTTCCTGACCCCGTCTGCCTGCATGAAGAGTATACCAGGTGAGTAATCTGAATTTACGTTTTGATGACCGCTGAAATCCCAGTGAGTTTATCACCTCCTTCATACCCATCACTTTCTCAACATTTTCTCCAAAGAGTGCGTTCACTGCGTTCCGGTGGCTGAATTCATCAAAGGGCACCCCGGGAGCTCAAATAATCACTAGAAAGTCCCGGGCCTTTACAGATAAAAATTTATCCAGCTGGTTCACACGTTTCAGTCACACCAATTGTTCCATAGGTTATAAGTATATTTGAATTACTTCTTATTTTCACTTTGTAGGTACCAGTTCTTCCTACAGGTACGCAAGGATATTCTGGAAGGTCGATTGCCAGTTCCAAAGGCGACTGCTTCTCATCTCGCTGGTTTGGTTTTGCAGGGTGAGTACATGCACCTCCTGTACGATCGGTGTGGTTTGATAACCCTGAAAACTCCAAAGTTTTGATACATCATTCGGATTCATACCCCTGTCAAGAGCTACCATCTTGACTTGGTAGGAGAGTTTGAGTTCTGTCATGAGTCTGGTGGTCATACTAACTGGAATACTATTACCCAATCATGTCAAGAAAAAAGCGAGGAGAACCTGCAGTGCAACCAACTCCATACTACGAGCTATCATAGTGTGATTAGAATCTCACCATTGTTTGCGATAGAATTGTGAAAACATTAAGGTTCCACCGGCCTCTAGCATCTTCATGTTTGTAGGAACAGCAATGTTGTTTCTTTAGATGAGGAACTGCAGGAGTAATCCTCGAACAAAATACAACATCTCCATACTCCGTTGGTAAGATTTTGGATTGTGGGAGACATCAACCGAACCCTCTTTGGTCTGGGTAACAGGAAAGCTATGCGCTCCTTTTTCGTTTGGTTGTCAGTCGGCTTTATGACATCTAATGAGCATACCGTAGTTCTCAAGGCTCCTGATTCCTCTTTTGCCGGCGGCGATGCACAGTGGATGTTGTGACTCAGTGCAAAACTGCTTGACAGGTTGCAACAGGTCCAACAGAAATCCCTCGTTAATCAACCACCGTCAGATCACTCACACAAGGCGCGACGCCATCACTAGACTGGATTAATCTGTGGAAGTGTTCACGTCAAGAGTTGGGTGCTGATACGTTCGCCTTTGCAGAGACGATAGTTTAACTGCGTCCAGAGCAGACCAGTAAAGTGGTGCTTAAACGCTGGACCCGAGAGTCAGATATTCCGGTTTCGAATTCCGGTCATCCCTAGTTTATGCAGCACCGATAAAAGTGAACCTCGAAGCCAGTGATTCTAAACTTTTGGCTCTGGCCAAGCGGAATGACTGCGCTGGGACGAGATGGAGTGATGTGAGTGCAACCACCTGCAACCACCTGGGAAAATTGCGCAGCAAGTTTCAAGTTTCCGTCACATTGACTGGGAATTCCATGGATAGCAATTGTGAATGATTGTAGGGTCTCGTAACTCAAAGGTATCAAGAACCACATCTAATGGAACACTCCTGGTTGGGTGCATCTAGTTTGCAGGTGTACGCAACTTTCACGTGATATAACAGGCTAAAATTCTTGCTGGTCCGAAGAACGGTGTCTAGGTGGAAGCGTAGCTTGTATCCTAATGGTTTGCCGACTAGGCCTTGATTACTTCCCAGACAGCTGCGAGGAGTATTCTAATCAATGAAAACAAAGGCTTGCGGTGAATAAAAATCAACCGCTAACAAGTTTTTTATTCGGGCCGATGCTTGGGTGTTGCTTTGTGGTACCGTTTGACAGTATCAAAATAGCACTCATCCAATCAATATCAGATCATGTTTTTATTCAGCAGCCTGCTGATTGGTGCAGGTTCCACGTACTCAGCGGATAAGAACTGTGTTGCTCTATTAGCTTGAAAATGGGTGAGCGCCTATATCAGTCGGGGGAGTCTGTCTGGCTCCAGGTTTGCCAGGATGTGGATAATGGTCGTACCGATGAAAATCGAAACCCAGGTAGTTTGTCAAACTGAAAAAAACTTGACACCGATCTAATTTTAGATTCTTGTTCGCCCCATGACAATAATGTCATTTAAATGCACAGGTGAGCCAGGTAGACTCGCCGTTGGCATGTCATTAATGCACTTGAGGAATGATTATGTATTTTCGATACTCTGTTGTATTAACCGACAAAAGACTGTCCAGATCATCTTGATGCCTCTGTTTTAAGCAAACCTGTGCAGTATGTAGTTATGCATGGGACGCATGTACGAAAGTGCCTAATGATGGGTTAAAATCTCTTCGTATTCACCAGTACCCCTCACAACACTTTTAAATTAGGTGACCCAAGCTGAGTATTTCACAAGCTGGCAGTAACCGCGGTTTTTCTGAAACACTCTTGATCTGGGGGAACATCATAGGAACTGGTACTTTAGGTCCAAAAGCTAACCTGGCTTTCCTTCCAATGTGCGGGTTGGCGTCTCTTCCTTACAGCATCCATCTATCTCGTCGCATACATCATGCCATTTGTCCCTTAAGCACAACATTACCTAGCTACCTGAAGCCAGATAAATATTTTTGACCGAAGCGAGCTGACCGTTGACGCTGTTTGGCGAGGTGGTCACGAGATCAGTTACACTGCCCAATCCAAACCGACGGCGTTTAAGTAACGGAGATAAGTGACAAACACAATGCGTCCCGGAAAATATGGTATTGCCGTAGTCAGCGGAGCGGTTACCTTGCCAAGTAAGGTGAGTAGATCACCTGATGCGCATTCAAGCACGTGTGTTGAATAAATTACCAGAGATTCAAGTCAAACAGATTGTGCATTATTAACAAGCGTAGAGACAAAGTGCTTACCGGACTCAGCAGAAACAGAAATATAGGCTGAATTTTCGTTAGTGGTGTTTAATCACCGAAACTCATTCAGCTAATCTTGTCCTGTGGATGTGGATCTTCTCGGCCAAGCTTGTAGCACGTCCTGCGGCTGCACTGTTTGGCAGGATAAACATAGGTACTAAGCCCCGCAGGCTGAGTTCCAAGTTTTGCATTGACCAAACGCATTCTGCAATCACCGCCTAACAGTTTGTTGTCCCGCGATAAGCGACTTTACTTGCTGCACAATACGATACCATCCGGGAGCGCGATGTAGTTGCACTTAATTTTAACCAGTAAATTACGTTTGCCGGCGGTTTTTCTGACGATCTTATCCGGATCCTAGTATAACTTACTCAGAAACGGAAAAGGCTGGTTTGTATTCAAATTTGGTGGCTGATTCGTTCAACAAAAGCCGTCGATATTGCGATTTCACACCGACAAGGCTCCAATAAACTCCATCTGGAAGATTTGTGAACATCGTTCATTTCTATCCAGTACGAAATTTCAAACAAGGCTTAGAAACTCTAAAAATTTTCGCGATATGCACACTCAGATGAGTCCTAATAAGGATGAAACGACTGTACGACGCTTCCAGGATTTCCACCGTAGATTAGCTTCACTTATAGTACAAAATACCCATTAAAAACTCTAATTCCTCCACACTGCCAACAATATGGAACTGGCACGCTCGAGAGCTTTCAGAAACTGACCAGTACGGGGAGAAAATGAGCGGGTCAGGAGAATCGTGTTCAAAATGCCCTGTAAATCAGGTCTGTGATTTTAAAAGCCGTCCTTTCAGACAACCTGTACGCCNAAAATGAGCGGTTCAGGAGAATCGTGTTCAAAATGCCCTGTAAATCAGGTCTGTGATTTTAAAAGCCGTCCTTTCAGACAACCTGTACGCCCAAGTGACCAGTAGCATGTGGTGAAGTGGGCGGATCCCCAAACACTTAAAAGAGGAAGAGCCCGAGGAACGGCCAATAGCTCTGATGAATACGGAATGCCTACGGAGAATGAAAAAGCTCCTTCTGCAGAACCAGTGGATCTTAGCGAGATGGTCCAACAAAAGGATAAAATCTCATTTCATGCAGATAAGTGCCCTCTTGAGAGAATGAACACGGAACTTTGTAGCACAGTTCAACTGGTCTCCATCACCTCAATCTATGCAAGCACCACATGAACATGAATGAGACAGTTCTCCATTAACAAAGGATGTCTTGCGTGAAATTCCCCTGCCTCAGCGAAACGGAGCACATGGCTCTGGCAGCTTGAATCCTGCACACTTCGAAGAAAATAGTGGATCCCTTGTCACGCACCTGAGCAATCTACTGCAAATTATTTGAAATTAAGCAACTAATTATTTTATATCACATAAATAGTATCTCCACTAAGGGTGCTAGAAAGTAGTACGAAAGTCATCTGGACTTCAGTTTAGAGGTCATAGCTTTATTCACACAGCTAAATTCACAGGTTGATGCACATGCATCATCTGAATAGTCAACTTCGTGATAAAAACTGGATTTGGCGCTGATTAAACACCTACGCACCATGTCATCGCGCCATGACGGGCGCTTAAACTGTGTCGTTCCTTCGGACGTTTTTGATTCCTTGTCATGTAGAAGTTCATCGAATTCCTAGACAGCCTGTGACGCCTATTCCAAAGGCGCTATATGCCCGCTCACTTGGAAGCGTGCGGGTCCACGGGAAGATCTTGTCTGAGTTCACCACATATGATGGTATCGATCAGGACCATCCTTTCCTGTCCTTCTTTTTTTGACTTATTATCGGTATCTCACTTGTTTCTTCTTGATCTGCCTTTAACATCTCGGGGATGGAATTTCTCTCCGGACTTTTGCTTACAGACGTTGAGAACGTTGACTGGATCGATATTCTGGGACAAACCATTTGGAGATGCAAACAAAGCAAAATACTTCTGCTGTATGGTTCGGCTTGTGCCTCATGTTCGAAAACTGGGAAGTGGTAGTGAAGACTATGTGGGACCAAACAAAACCCTCGCGCTTGCAAACTGATCGGTCAATTTTGATCACATCCGTCAACCGATCTCCTAAACTGAGAGGTCCACGGCGACGTTTTCTAGACTACGTCAGTTGCAATACGTGCGTAAAGTTGGTTAGGTCATCAAGGGTAGAGCGTACAAGACTGCAGTGCTGTCTACCCTATTTTATTGATCATAAGTTTATTCGCCACTTACGGAAGATCCTCTATTTTGTCAAAGGTGCTTTCGAGTTGCCACGCGGGTTCAGTTGAGGACATCAGGAATGCTGAGATACGCGAGGTGATTTTTTACTGAATGATACTCCTATGATAAGTAAACTACATGAGCTACTATGACTACGAATATCAGAAGACCGGCTGTCTTGCAGTGTCTTTTACACCAAATCAGTTAACGGATTGAAACGGTTCAGGGTCACATTTCTCGTAAACATCGTATCGATTGAAAGTATTTTGGTGAGAATATTCGAAATATTCTTACCGAAATTAAACGTTAGGTGGATGCTTTGAAGCACGTTTGGTTGGAGAGCCCCGTAGAAAAACAAG